GTAGTCAATCATAGTAAACATAAGACATATTTTAAGCATTCACATTAATTAAAAATGGGCATTAACATGCATTACGATCTTATTCACACCAATTTCTGATATGTTTGTTTATGGGTCGTACACCTAATTAATGTATAATGTGAATATTAACATCTGTAGTCAACCATAGTATGATATGAATATTCACAATGCAATAAATAGATGTGAAGATTCACATTAATTCTAATATAATTGTGCATAGATCATACACATAATTAATGTATAATGTGAATATTAACATCTGTAGTCAACCACAGTAAACATAGGAGATAATTGAACATTCACATTTATTGAACATAAATTATGATGTGAACATTCACACAAATTTCAACATAAGAAAATAGATGTGAATGTTTATAGTTCATATTATTGTTTAGCACATGCAACACATCAACACTAAATATACCATCAAAACACATAGGTCTGTGAGAAGTATATCATTGATTTATATATATGTTGTCAAGTGTTTTCAACTACAAATTATCAAAATAAAAATAAAAATAAAACTAGCACAGTATTTTGGTATAGGTAGTGTTTGGTGGACAACCCCAACCATCAAACAACGGAGTTTGCCTCAAATAATCCAACTAAGGATCCCAGAACTTGGTGCTTGTTATCAATTTTACAAAGCCTGTAATGTTTGATTGATAATTGACATGCCACATGTCGATGTAGGTGTTTGCTCTCTAGAGATATACTCTCTTCTTTGACATGATACTTCCCCCTCTTTCTCTTTGTGCAAAATTTAGATACAACATCTGTTACATTGGCATGCACAAATAGTAAGTGTTTATATGAACATTAAATTTAATTTCAATAGAATTGATAGGGTAGGCATGCAGATTGACATCAACACATCATTAGCCCGTGTGGATGTTCATATTTAACGATATTCATATAAGCAAAAGCAATAAAGATTTAGGTGAAAAACATAATAATGTGAACATTCACATCAGATGTGAATGTTCACATTACTGCTAGGGTATAAATAGGAGTGATCATACTGAATATTGATATTTACACATCCATATAATATTAGGTATGTCTATGTATATAGAAGGAAATGTTAAAGTTCACATCAACATTTGGTTATAACAATTCACAATAAGACAATGATTATATGTATACATTTATAAGCAAATGACACCAATGTGAATATTCATAGTGGCTATAAACAACCAAACAACATGACAACATCACCCATTCATTAACCACAAATCACATATTTTTAGTGTACACATGTGATATGAATAATAAGTGGATAAATATGAACAACATTCGTGTTCACAATATCAATGTTCACATCAAAATTGAACTACAACTAGAAGAAACGTTTTTATTTGGGGATTTGCTTGACTTAATGTTCACAATCATATAACAAATTTATTCAGGATACGGTCCCTATGTTAATGTTGACATCCTATGAACAACAACGACAATATCTAAAACGACAATTTTTTGTTTTCTAGGTAAAGCAACAAATTTGGGAGTTCACATCATTTTAACAATACCAACAACAACAAAAAGAGAGAAAATAACAGCAGCAACATGAACAATAAAGACCAAAAATAACAATGGCAACATGTGAGAAAGTTTGCATTGGGACAAAAAAAAATGTAATTTGATTACACAAAAAAGGGGGAAAATCCATATAATATTAGGCATGTCCATGTGTATAGAAGGGAATGTTAAAGTTCACATCAACATTTGGTTATAACAATTCACAGTAAGACAATGATTATATGTACACATTTATAAGCAAATAACACTAATGTGAATATTCATAGTGGCTATAAACAACCAAACAGCATGACAACATCATTCATTCATTAATTGCAAACCACATATTTTCAGTGTACACATGTGATGTGAATATTAAGTGGACAAATATGAACAACATTCATGTTCACAATGTCAAGGTTCACATCAAAATCGAACTACAACTAGAATTTTTTTTTTTATTTGGGGATTAACTTGACTCAATGTTTATAATCATATAACAAATTTATTCAGGACATGGTCCCCATATGAATGTTGACATCATGTGAACAACAACAACAATATCCAAAATGACGACAAATTTCTGTTTTCTAGGTAAAGCGACAAATTTGGGAGTTCACATCATTTCAACAATACCAACAACAACAAAAAGAGAGAAAATAATAGCAACAACATAAACAACAAAGACCAAAAATAACAATGGCAACATGTGAGAAAGTTTGCATTGGGACAAAAAAAAAAAAATGTAATTTAATTACACAAAAAAAGAGAAAAAAAATCCATATAATATTAGGTATGTCCATGTGTATAGAATGGAATGTTAAAGTTCACATCAACATTTTCTTGCAACAATTCACAGTAAGACAATGATTATATGTACACATTTCTAAGCAAATAGTAACAATGTGAATATTTATAGTGGCTATAAACAACCAAATAACATGAAAACATCACCCATTCATTAACCACAAACATGTGATGTGAATATTAAGTGGACAAACATGAACAACATTCGTGTTCACAATGTCAAGGTTCACATCAAAATCGAACTATAACTAGAAGAAACGTTTTTATTTGGGGATTTTCTTGACACAATATTCACAATCATATAACAAATTTATTCAAGACCTGGTCCCTATGTGAATGTTGACTTCATGTGAACAACAACAACAATATCCGAAACAACGCCAATTTTTTGTTTTCAAGGATAACCAACAAATTTAGGAGTTCACATCATTTCAACAATACTAACAACAACAAAAAAAAGAGGGCAAAATAACAGCAACAACATGAACAAGAAGGATAAAAAATAACAATGGCAACAGGTGAGAAAGTTTGCATTGGGACAAAAAAAATATAATTTGATTATACAAAAAAGGGAAAAAAAAATGTGCTTACATTTGGTCCCCATATCGAGTTAATACACTCCGATAGATGCAAATGTTCACAAAATGAAATACCGTTTCAAACATGGAATACGAAAAGTGATAAACACAGTAGTGAATGTTCACAAAGTGAGTAATCAATTTACACATGTTATGAATGTTCACAACATAATTAGATATACCAACATCATCTGACACAGGTAAGTTGGAGCATGATTCTTTGTTTTCATATGAATGTTCACTACTGTTAACAACGACAATATTAGGGGCAAGAACAATAACAATATAAAATTACATACATTGTATGAATAGAAATAAGGAATATGTGCGGAAGTTCATATTGGTGCAATTTGAATAGGACATTCACATGATCAAATAATACAACAACAACAAGAACATCTGCAACAATTGGCTTGGCCCAACATACTGACTTCCCTGTGCATGTTCACTACTGTTAACAACAATAATAGTAGGGGCAATAATAGTAATAAAAGTTCACATATTGAATAAATAAAAACAGGGGCTATTGTGGAAGTTCATATTGATGCAATTTGAATAGGACATTCACATGATTAAAACATACAACAACAACATCTGAAACAATTGGCTTAGCCCAACGTATTGACTTCCCTGTGAATGTCCACTACTGTTAACAACAATAATAGAAGGGGCAATAATAGTTATAATATGAAGTTCACACATTGAATGAATAAAATCATATACTATGAAGTTCACTACTATAGAAGTTCATATTGACGAAATGGATATAAGAGATTCACATGATTAAAACATACAACAAGAACAACATCTGAAATAATTGGCTTGGCTTAACATTTTTCATTCCCATGTAAATGTTCACAGCTTTTGACATCATAACGTAATTGCCACTGCATTATTTTTGGGTGAACAAATCCATATACTTGGGGATTGGGATTGAGGGGTTTACATTCACGATTATGGCATGAACAATAAAAATATGAAGTTCCACACATTGTATGAATAGAAACAGGGGATATTGGAAGTTCACAATGGTGTAATTTGAACAAGAGATTTAAGGTTTACATACAAGATTGGTGAGATTACTTACTCTTTTTGCCTATATCGACGGTTGGGTTGTCACAAATAGTCGTCGATGGTGATTTTGACGAAGATGGAACTTTAGGATGTTCACCAATGGTGATTTCCACGTTTCCGTAGACGGACGACGGAGGTATGACAAAGCCGATGATGAGATGTCGCGACAATGGGACAATGAGATGCATATGGGTGTGAGACGATATGGAATATGATTTTGGGTTTTTGGAAGGGTGGAGATACTGTGTGTGATTTTCTACAAAAAGAGAGGAGAAGAGGGACAGTTATTTGATTCAAAAAAAGAAGGGAAGAGGAGAAGGGTGTTTTGGTCTTCTAATATAAAATAGGACTTAATGGAATAGTAAAAAACATTATGGGGTTTATGGAATAGGATTCTTAGAGAATGGATTTATTAAAAAAGCTCCATTTTATTATTTTGTTTATTTATTTATTTAGATGGAGTTTATTTATTTATTTTATAGGATCAAATTTTGCTAAAATTGTACTCCACAATTAGTATTAGTACTAGTTAATTGACCAAATATGTAATGAAATGCCGTTAAAAAGTTAAAAGAATATATTTTTAGAAAAAGATTTAAATCTAAAAAAAAAATGCATATGTTATCTAAAATAGTTACGATTCTTAAACATTTGTTTTCTAACATTAATATTAAGGTTAATCACAAAAAGATTGCTAAGAAATTAAATATTTTTGATTTGAATAACAAGTGGCCAATTAGAAATTGCCACATTATTTGAAATATAAGTTCCTACATAAATGGTTGGAGGAAAACCATTTCGTAAAGTTTTTATGAATATGAAAGTTCTCAAAATGAACTCAAATTCTATAATTAATCACCCATTAAAGTCAACAGTTAGTACCTAACATAAAGAAGATGAAAAAATAGAAAAGAAAAGCTCCACATTTAAAAGTAGAAAATGACAAGATTTTCTTTTCGAGACAATTAAAATACAAAATGGTCATAAAAAATTATTAAAAAAAAGAACCATTGTTATATGCAATTTTCTTGGAAAATCAGTTGAAATCGTATCACTGCTTGCAATGTTCATGAATTGCTTATGTGGTGGCATTTGAAAACTACGAAGAAAAAAAAGAAAAAAAAGCAAATTGTAAAAAGTACATCTGATTCAAATTTAATGACAGTACAAGAAAGAGTAATAGTGCTAGACAATGTCGCAAGACAGAAAAAAAGAGTTGAGTTTGATCAAACTGTTAAATTTTCAATGCGAACTTGAAGGTCGAAATTTTACTCCTCCAGGCAAGTACCTAGACACAAATTCACGAGCTAACGCTTGAAGTTCATCATCACCACCCTCAATTTCTTGATCCATAGGATTACAAAAACTAACCAATTCCATTGATGTCGAAGGATCAAAATTAGTAGTCGATGCATTAGAATTAGACGCAAAGTCAGATGATGATTGAAGATTTTCTGTTGAAGGGCGTCCTGGTGGTTGAGGAGGTGGCGGAGGGAGAAACTGCAACATAGAGAGTCGAGCTTGAATGTATGCTAACTCTGCTTGCAAATTAACTACCTACATACACAGAACAAAATAGTTATGTTGCAAAAACATCACTTGCCATTGTTTCTGGAAATATTATCTATATATACTATCTATCTACACTATTATAAAAAGTCAGCTATTGAGTTAGTGTGGCCATCACAGATTCTCATTTTCTGAAAACACCTTTCACTATGCAAGTACTATCAATCTGCTTCAAATAACTGCTATTCGCAAATTCAATTGCTTCAGATTCATTTTTATTTTTATTTTTATAGAACTGCCAAGTCTTTAGTATTTAATAAGACATTCCGTGTGTTAAGAGTTGATATAGAATTTATGTTAGATAACTAGAGTCTAAAAGTCTGAACAGTCATTTGGTTAAGTTCAATGTGTCTTGGTGCATGTGATGTGCAAGTACATGAATGTATAGGTTAAGGTACATGTATGGTTTATAAGCCTCTATTTATCCAAGTCCTCTATATAAAGAGGCTAGTGATTATTGTATCAACAAGAAAGACAAAACAAAGGAAGTTTGAATATATAGAGTTTGATGAAGGTATTTGAGTCTTCTTAGGAGCTCTATATGGCCTTCGAGTCGCACATCTCCACAAGTTTTGTTTTATTTTAAGAGTGAGTTATGTTTTATTATTGTCAATATCTACCATGTTTGCTAGCGTCCATAAATATAGTGAAAGTTTTTAATCAGAACCGAATTCTCGTATAGTTTCAACAAAATGACCCAAAAAAAAAAAAAAGAAAAGAAAAAAGACGTGGTGGTTATTGCTAGCTACATACACAAAATTGTTTTCCTTATCACATAAAGCCAATCCAAAAAGTACAAAACAAAAGCCAAAATAAAAAAAAACAGCTTTCACATGGGTAAATATGATCACACTAAATTCCTCCTACACCAAGTGGGGTAAATTTAATTTCCTTATCAGATGGAGGGAAATAATCCTAATGATTAAATACATTTTGCCTAGCCTTGAAGGCTAGCTACATGTAGCTAGTGAATGTGAATTGAGCTAAAATGCCTAATCATATGCCTAGTGCATTGGAGTTGAAAAAAGTGAGTCATACTAAGCATTTTGACTAACAAACATTATATACCTAGTGGGTTGGAGATGCTCTTAGTGTGGCCATCACATATTCTCATTTTCTGAAAACACCTTTCACTATGCAAGTACTATCAATCTGCTTCAAATAACTGCTATTCGCAAATTCAATTGCTTCAGATTCATTTTTATTTTTATTTTTATAGAACTGCCAAGTCTTTAGTATTTAATAAGACATTCCGTGTGTTAAGAGTTGATATAGAATTTATGTTAGATAACTAGAGTCTAAAAGTCTGAACAGTCATTTGGTTAAGTTCAATGTGTCTTGGTGCATGTGATGTGCAAGTACATGAATGTATAGGTTAAGGTACATGTATGGTTTATAAGCCTCTATTTATCCAAGTCCTCTATATAAAGAGGCTAGTGATTATTGTATCAACAAGAAAAACAAAACAAAGGAAGTTTGAATATATAGAGTTTGATTAAGGTATTTGAGTCTTCTTAGGAGCTCTATACGGCCTTCGAGTCGCACATCTCCACAAGTTTTGTTTTATTTTAAGAGCGAGTTATGTTTTATTATTGTCAATATCTACCATATTTGCTAGCGTCCATAAATATAGTGAAAGTTTTTAATCAGAACCGAATTCTCGTATAGTTTCAACACAATGACCCAAAAAAAAAAAAAAAAAAAAAAGAGGCGGTGGTTATTGCTAGCTACATACACAAAATTGTTTTCCTTATCACATAAAGCCAATCCAAAAAGTACAAAACAAAAGCCAAAATAAAAAAAAACAGCTTTCACATGGGTAAATATGATCACACTAAATTCCTCCTACACCAAGTGGGGTAAATTTAATTTCCTTATCCTTTGTTTGTCCTATTAATTAAACTTGCATTATAAACATCATACATACTGTCCAATGATAAGGAACTATCATAATTGTTCCCGAAAAAAGAAAAAAAACATCATACATCCCAAAAAACAACCTATCATGGTAATAAAGGAACAAAAGCACTTAGAAAATTGAATGTATGCTCCAATTTTAGCACATATTTCTATTTTATACACATGCATATTGTATGTATGTACGTATGGTGTCTTTCCATTCGAATGTGTATGCCATGCCACTGTGGTGGTGTGGGACTACGGAAGTATTTGGAAAATGACTTTTTTTATTGACTTTATTTTTTACGAAAAATGTGTAAAAAAATACATAGTGATTTGACAAATTATAGTAATTTTTTTTGACTTTTTTATTGTTTTAGTCTCTCTCTAAATGGGGCCTAAGATAAGGTAATTTAGTGCACATGACTCCTATTATAGTACACTGTAGAATTACATTATTTTCATGTGTTTTTAGCGGAAAAAAGAATAAGAAGAAATCCCTGTAGATATGCCGAGTGTAATGAAATAAAAAATGAAAGTAAAACAAAAGCAATATAAGAACACGAAGATGTAGCTCAACAATAAATCTACGTTAATGGATGAAGAACGGCAGAGGGTTTTACTATCAAAGAAGGAGAAATTACAAAGAACAACTACCTCTTTCAAAGTCGTTTATAACAAGAATATTTTACTTAAATCTTAGAATAACCCATAACATATACGACGATCCAAATAGAATAAGAACCGAGTCAAACATAGCCATTTGACCATCAATCAGATTGTGCGGATCAATCAAGAGTCATAACCACAAATCGAGTAGAATAGTAGATACCCACAACATGAAGCAAGTCGGAAAGGATAGTACCAAGTGGTACCATTGAAATTCTGCTAATATTCTTATCCCAACTCAATGATCCATCAATAAACTAATATGTACTATGCATCATGAACATTATAATAAGCTTGAAGATAAGGACAAAGTAGAAAGTTGGTGTGTATAAATATAACCATCTTAATCACACCATGTTGAAAGCACTTATTCAGTTAGCTAGAAGAATGCATAATATTATTGTCCAACTGTAAATTTTTTATTTTTTATTTTTTATAATTATCTTTGTTTGAAGAAAAGTTATTTGCAAATAGAACTTTTATACAAAATAGTCTATTAGAATGATGTGTTAATGGCAGTTTGGAAATAAAAAGACACTTTCATGAATCTTTGATTTAAAACTATTAGCTCTACCTTTATTCTTTGGATCTCCCAATTCTTTGAACACCCACCCTAAATCCTAAATTTTAATACTATCTCTTTTAACACTCCATCTATTACCAAATTTATCCATATTTATAATATCATCACCCAAGTTATGCACATCCATCTCATTTGCGTTCCCTCTCCATCAGTAAACGATGAACGTCGGTTCCTCTCCTCCAACAAACTGAAGAACGACAGTTTTCTTTCTCTTTGATTTATTTGAAACCCTAAACTCATTAACAGTGAAAACACCATTGCATCTTGTCTGAAACTGAATGACGTTTCTTTGACTTTATACCATTGCATCTCTTCTTCAAACTCATATGGAACTGAGGAGAAGAGTCGTCAAAAATCTATCTTCCAATATATCAGGGAAAAAACCCTTAATTGAATGACAACTAGGTAAAAAACCTACAAACGGGAACCGTTCAACATACTAATGCTAAACAAAACATTACTATTCGGAACTCACCTTCCAAACTAAATATTTTTGTTTAGTACTGTGTTGCGAACATAACTTTAAAAGTCGGCAAACCAATACCGAATAACCTCAAACAATAGAACAATAATCGAAAATGACAAAGAATCATTAATTTAAGGATCGAGAAGATAGATAAACTTACCATTGTAACGACAACCTCATTCGAGTTGTTGTCATCATCCTTTATTGCTGGACTAATCTAATAATTTCAGCTCACAGTGACAATGATTTTTAGTTTAGGGTTTAGGGTGGTGATGAGAAGATGAACACTGTTTAGAATTTAGGTTGGTGAATGGTCTTTGTCGAATGGTTTGGTGGGAATGAAGGTGGAGGTGGGTATACAATATTGTAGAGTATGATTCTAATTGTTTTCATTTGGAGGGTGGGTGTTCCATTGGAGGTTGTCCTTCATTATAATTTTATTTCAAATTATAATTGTAATAAAAAAAAGTTAAAATTACGGAGTCCAGAGAATAAAGGTAAGTACTAATAACAATCTACTCAGTTCAAATTTTATGTATAACATTTCTATTTGTATATTTTGTTTGAATTCCATACGGTAGTCAATGCTAAGCAGTTATTGGAATCTTACCTAATTAAAGGGAGTTGTTGGTGTTTTTCTTCCCAATGAACATTGATGTGGAAAAATGAACTTTAAACAACAATGTAATGTTCCTTCAAAATTCAAAATTCAAAATTTAAAAAAAAAAAAAAAAAACAGCAATAATGTCTAAAGTAGGGATGGTCATTTTAGTTTGATCTGCGGGGTCTGTCCATATCCATTCCGAACGAGGTAGATTTATCCGACTAGACAATGCAGGCGGGGGAGGGTATCACCTCTCCTAATCCAATCCCGACCCAATATAGTTAATAATATATATGTATATATAATATAATTAGATATAAGAAAGGAATACTAAAAGTCTGTAACTTTATTTAAATATAAATAAATAAGAAACCAAACTATCATCCCCTTATTTTGTTATAGGAAATTGTTTAGTGTGTTAAAGATTTAAATGGTTCTTAATTTTTTTAGTAATTTGAAATGTGGTCGGATATCCGTGGGTATCGGGTATTTGTGGGGTAGGAATGGAGTTGAATTTTTTTTACCTGTAGCGGGATTGGGACGGGGACGGGGGCGGAGGTGGGGTTTGAAAGTGAGAGCGGAGGCAGGGAATGACAAATCTGTCCCACGCCCATCCCTGGTCTAAAGAAAATCAGCAAGTTTAAAAATATTCGTTTCTTTAGTTGCCAATGAAATGGTTATAATTACAAATACAAATAAAATATGAGATATTAGTAATTTCGGAGCGCCTAACATTATTGGAGTGCAAAACTTTGTTAAAGACATGATCATACTGATTGGTCTCTTTTTTTTAATATTTGTTTTATATATTTTTATTTTTGATCTAGAGCAAAAAGGTGATCATATTTACAAGTAATATTCAACAGAGATTTATTGACCAGTTGAGTTCATAAAAAAATAAAACAAAATAAAAAATTCATAGATGATTCCGACATATGTCTTCTCAAATTCTACCATAAAGACAATCTCGCGAACTAAACAACTATTTTTAATCGTGATAAGACAATTCTTAATGTTATAACCAATAATATGTAGTACTTGGAGATGTTTATAAATCTAAACCATATTAATATAGGAAAGTTTTCTATGTATAAGACACTCTCATAATTAATCAAAACTAATTAGTATAATAAGTCCACAGTCTTCCATAGTTACCCTTGCTAGTGAGCATTGAATTTGATCCACCTATACTATATGGTCGTTTTATATTATTAATATATAATATATAATACATATATAAACATGTCTAGATATATATGCCATAATAGAAGATTGAGTACTGAATTTAGTGAAGCCACAAAGTCAAAATTACAAAACATTTTAAATGGTGTTCTCTTCTCGAGTTGCTAAAGTTATTCTACTTGGTAGCCCCGGCAAGCAACAAAGACCCTTTAAAGTCCATAATCGTCCACCAATTCATGCCATTGGCGGCTCTCTCTCTCTCTCTCTCTCTCTCTTAGTGTGTGTAAAATGCGCATGTTAGCATGGATGGTTTGGCACAATTTTCTTTTAAAATTAATATAATTATAAGAAAAATTACAAATTAAAAGAAAGTAATTGTTAAAAGGACAAATTATGACAGCAATCTCTCTATTTTGGTCTTCATATCGTTTTGGTCCTTATAATTTTAATTGACTGGATTTTTGACTCTAAATTTATGATTTTGTTTTAATTTGGTCAAATTAATTATAACTCTTAGCATTTTTTAATAAAAAATATGTACATAAGTGATATATGTCATATTTTTTAGAGTAAAATTATAGATTTATTAAACTTACTGAGTTAAATTTAACCAATTTAGTAATTATTTTTCATCAAAAATACTAACGGCATTATCAATTGGATCAAGATGGCACAAAATTTAAAATTGAAGGTCAAAATTGAGCCAATTGAAAATTGAGGGATAAAAATGACATAAGGAGCAAAATGTAGAGACCACCAGTGTAATTTGCTATTGTTAAAATATGGAGGTATAAATAGATCTATATCCTGATGTAAATCAAAATTATGAATTATGTTCTTTTTATTTCTTATTGATTTGCAATTTTTCCAAGAAAACCTAATAGTCATACTTTTTAAAATAAAAATAAAAAACTCGACCATCCTACTTATGAGAATACAATAAGGTTGTTAAAATAATGATCCCAGGTAGAATTATTAGGAAACACTCGTGAATCTTATTGACAATCATACAACTTTTCTTTCAATATTGCAATATAATTTTACACAATTTTATAAATAAAATCGTAGTCATTTTAGATTTTATAAAATTTAATATCCTATGTGATTCGGAATACAGATCCCACTTCTACCTCTGTAAGTTTCCTTTTATTATGTTCTCTTTTTATTGAAAAAAAAAAAAAGGAAAAGAAGAAGAAGAAGAAGAAACAAGGAAAATAAAAAAAATAAAATAAAAATTGACCATTCTAAAGAATACTCAAAGACCTAGACCACTTGGCCAGACTTCCAAGTTCCAAGTTACTTCCTTTATCAATAAACTCAACTTCACTCAGTTAGAGGTAGAAAGACGAGCCTAAGAACAAGTCAACTAAAAAACCTTCATTAGCTTCAATGAAATTCATCAATAGTTCTACAGGTTTATTAAACAATTAGGGAGAAGAGAACATAAAGGAGAAGGTGCATTAGCATGACCAACAGTTAAGTTTTATACCATTGGATTGTTTTGAGAAATTAGTTTAAAGTTAATTTTTTGACATTTCTTTTAAAAAATGTATAAAAAAATAAAGAGGCTATATGAGTCAAAATAGGTTTAAAGTCAAAATTAATCCATCTTTCCAAATTAACCGATTTCTTTATTTTGGATTTTCACTTGCTATCGTGTAAGCTAAAGAAGCAAGTAATAACCACCATTAAATGAAAAGACAATGGTTGAGAGCTCTAGGGATAGAGCTCTATACATGTAGAATTGAAAAAAAAAATTCAAAACATCACATTAATAGATGAATTTCACCCCTAAGACTCTTTTAGAACTCTTATTTTAGAATCCTCAGACGTTTCTGCATATGAAAACTAGCATTGCACACAACCCTAGGCGTAAGGTAGCACGATTTGCACAAACTTTATAGTTCTTTATCTACTTACTAGCCTGTTCTTCTAAATTAAAACCAATCCACCGGTCTTTTGAAAAATTGATTAAAAGTTGATATTTTTGACTTTTTTTTATTTATTTTATCTTTTAATAGTGAAAAATGTAAGAGATGATGTGATCTAAAATAAGTTAAAAGCTAAAAGTTAGCTTTTAACCATGTTGCCAAATGGCCCCACAATTTCTAGTAAATTATATCTGAAGCCTCGTTTGGCAATATCACTGTTTAGTTTAAAAGTTAAAAAGTGACTAAAAAAATCAAAAAGCAAACAACTTATACTAAAAAGTCAAAGATTTTTTTTTCTTTCTATTTTTTACACATATTTTCATAAAAAAACTAAAAAGTCATCCTAAACATATTAATTTTTTTTTACATCATATTTTAGTCAAAAAATCAAAATGTTATTAAAAAAACATGTTCCCAAACGAGACCTAAGTTTTAGCCAAAAATCTAAAAAGTCACTATAAGTTATCACATTACTCTTTCTACTTTTTTACACATATTTTTATAAAAAATTAAAAAATTACTGAAATAATTTGTTCCTAAACCAGACCTTAAATTCACATGGACTGAATTATTAGGGTTTTAATTGGGCAAGCTACTAGCACGTGCTGCAAACAAATGTACACCCGGTGTACGTTGGTATAATTACAATTGTAACCACAAATTTATTTTAAAAAATTTGAAATGGGAAGATGTGATTTATTCTCATTATTAAGTTTAAATCTACCCTGTAAACGAAAATACTTAGAGACATATGAAAACTTTCAATTTGACCTATAATAATGTAATATGATAAGTGTCAATTTTTAATTTGTCACATACTCAATAATATAAGGGCCCAATTCTTATCACATTATTATAGGTGAATTTGTAAAACGTATAAAAAATAGAGAGGTGATATGATTAAAAAAAACTAAAAAAAATCAATAAATTAGCTCTTAACTTAGTTGCCAAAAGAGGCTTTATTATAAACTAAAAATTGAAAATAAAAAAAAGAAGCCAACATTATTTATTTTCCAATTTTTGTATAACAATTTTTTTTTAGTTTATTTAAATTATTTTTAACTAATAAATTATGAACAGAGGTGCACAAAACAGTCAAATACAAACTCTCAAAATATTTATAAAAAAAAAAAACTAAACAACACAAATAAATTATACCAAACAGATTCTGATCATAATTTATTTTAATTTTAGAGTTTGTATCAAACTGTTTAATGCAGTTTCGACTTAGCAAAAATAACTTGAATAAGTTAAAAAAAAAACTAATTATTGAAAGATAGTTTTAGCTTATACTTTTTAATTATCAGCTCAGCTTAAAAAAAAATCTACTAAACAAGCCATTATCCTAAAAACAAGCAAAATAGTTGCATATATTCTTACACGCATGGATGTGTCAAGTAATACTAGAAATCCATTTATGGTTCTTCTGTTAAAATAAAAATAAAAACTCAAAGCGCACGTTAGCATGAAAATTCACAGACCAAAAAAAAAAATAAAAATAAAAATAATGCGGTAATACCAAACCAAGACTCTGATAAATTGTATACCTGTTGTTGGAGAGTGAAGATGTGACCAACACAGCCATAAACAGGGTCTCTAATCCTAGCCAGAGCCTCGTAACAAAGCGTAATGGCGGCGTCGAGCCTCTTATTCGCCGGAATTCTGAGCAACATCTTGGACGCATTGCTAGCTCCGAACACTTTGTGCACTGCTGCAAAGTAAGCCGAGCCTTGTTCCGAGTCGAAATAGGGTGCAAATACGCACCCTTTTACACACTTTCTCCTCAGGAACTTGCAGGCACCGCAAGGCCCACCACCACCTCCACCTCCACCTCCATTATTGCTACTCATCTCTCCCTCTCTCTCTTCTATATATCTTTGTGTTTCTCTCTCTAGAGAGAGATTATATGTTCTTCTGCTGCTAAGTGTTTGCTTTGTGAGGAGGGGAGAGAGAGAGAGAGGGGAGAGAAAGAAAGATTGGTGAAAATTTGGGAGTATTTAGAGGGAGAAAAGATGGGTTGGTTTGGGATTAAGAAAATGTGCAGCTATTGGTGGATGGTGGTGGGTCATTAATATTATATATATATATATGTAGGGCTTAAATTGTGGATGCATGTATAGTAAAATAATATTTGTTATGTATATTTACGACATTTCTATAGTTTCAAAAAATGTCTCACAAAAATCCTTAGAAAATATATATAATAGTTGAGATTAATTTTATGCGTAGACCTTATTATAGAGGGAATAAATTTTAATCATATATTATTGTTCTATTTCAAATCTTGGTATATATGTTTGAGTCAGATTTTAAGTATATTTATATAATAAATATTATGTGTATATGTTGTGCTTATTCTATTTAAAAGAAAATATATATGAATTTATGTGACTGTGATTAACAGGATCTTTGAAAAATAATAAAATCCATTATCCTATATGAAAAGCGCCGAAAATATTTTTAAAAAATGATAAAATATTCGAAAGTTATATAACAAGGCTTGTATTTTGGGAGTCCAAATTTGTTAATTGTGGGTGACCATAATCATCTAATTGGTTATTATTATTATTATTCTTAGAATTCACTTCTTTAAGTGGGGGTTTTCTATTTTTGGAAGTTTCAAGTAGGATTGTGTTCAAAATTTTAGATGTCGTACAAGTGAATTAATAATTTAATTTTTTTTATAAGCATATGTATGAAAATTAAGTATAGGATTTTAAATGTTTAATCTTTTGTCACCAAAACATTTTGTCGTCATACAATTATATAATGTTTAAAAGTATTTTGAGATTTTTTTTTAAGAAATAATTCTAAAAACATAGATATATGAGACAAAGGTGGATAAGACCCTCCTTTTATTTCACAAGTTTGGCATATTTCGAAAAAGTCAAAAAATTATTCAAAAAGTTAAAAAGTTAACACTATTCACTAAAAGTCAACAATTACGGCTGCACAACTCCCAATCCTAATTTTCTCCTACAAACCAATTTTTACAATTTTTTATTACACATTTTTTCATAAAAAGTCAAAAAGTTAACCCAAACATCTATATTTTCTTCCTCAATTTTTTAGTCCAAGATTCCCGATACGTACCGATCGATACTACCGATACCGATACTCCACGATCGATACCGTTACGTTACCCGATACCGCGATTTAGAACCTTGATTTTGTTATAATCAGCTTTTTGGTGAAAAGTTACTTATAAGTAACTTTTTTGTGTTGGACGGTTTCAGTTCTGTTCTGAATCAGATCTGTTGGTCTGCTCTCTGGTTTAGACTCTAATCTTCAGTTGCTGGATGTTGGTCTGATCTGTTGGTCTGCACTTTGGTTGGTCTGATCTGTTGGTCTGCTCTCTGGTTTAGGCTCAAGTCTGCCTTGTAAGGTCTAGTTTGGTCTGATCCGCTGAGTTTGGGCTGTGTTGTGGTCAGTGGTTCAGTAGTGATCTGGGTCTCCAGTCTTGGTCTGGATTCTTGGCTGCTGATCTGTTCTGTTTCTCTTCTTGTTTCTTTGTTGGTTTCTCACCAACTGGAGCTTGGAGCTTCATTTAGCTCCAAGCTCCTCTTTATTGATGTTTTGTATCTTTCGCATGCTTTCATCAATAAAGATCTTCTTTGCCGATCAAAAAAAAAAAAAGTAACTTTTTTGTGAGAGAGGAAGTGAGTTATAGTCTGGGAAGTGGATTATAACTCACTTCTCAAAATAGGCCATAATGTTTAAAAGTATTTTGAGATTTTTTTTTAAAGAAATAATTCTAAAAACATAGATATATGAGACAAAGGTGGATGAGACCCTCCTTTTATTTCACGTGTATGACACATTTCTATAATCTTAGTTTTATTTTAAAAAATTTGAAGTGTACATAATTTGATAAATGAACAAGACATAAAACTTGTTAAATATGTGAATCTCATTTCATGTTAAAAAATTGTGTTTAATTTTATAATTAAATTTTCTATCCATAAAAAAAAGGAGATTTTTTTTTAAGATTCCTTATATTAAGATTTTATAAGATAAATGACATACAATATTTTTATAATAGTAAAAATCTTTCAACATTTTTACAAAGAAAATTCGACTCAGAAAAATTTTGCTCGACTTAGAGAAATTTCTCTGATTTCTATACGATCATACTAGAGAAGTTAGGACTAAAATTTTTCTAAGTCGGGTAAAATTTTTATGAGTCAAATTTTTATTGTAAAAATATTAAAAGGCCTACTAATAAAAAATGTCTTAAACCTTTCTCACGATATAAAATTTAAAAGAGATATTTTATTGATTTTTCTTTACAAAAATTGTATTGATAGACCAAAAGTATGTATATAAATGAAAATTATGAGAGAGAGAGAGAGAGAGAGAGAGAGAGAGAGAGAGGGGAAAACTTTGAAGGCACGGCAAGAGGAGGTGGGGAGCAGCTTGCGTGAAGCAAACACATGTACAATAGGTGCATCCGGTTGACAGTAGCAAACCAAACTTCTTCCAACCGCCGCACGGCTTTCTTCTGCTGCCAAATGCCCCATGTAAGACAAACATCCCCCCAATCTTATCTTTCTCTCTCTTGTCATTTCCATCACTCACTCTCTAGTCTCAACTCAATCACTCACTCACTCTCATTTAGGTTGTGTGTTCTGTGTTTCAGAAGTTTCATGGAGAGAGAGAGACAGAGAGAGAGAGGCACCATGCAAATAGTGCTCTACTTTTCAACAATAATATGGAATCGTTTGAAAAGGGTAAATTAAAAACACACCCTTTAACCTAAGGGTGTTTGGCAATTTGGTAAAGGTTTAGGGGTTAAGATTCTAGGTCCCAAGTTTAAAATTTCTTGGGTCAATCTTTTGGGCGTAGGGCAGTTGGTTAGGAGGTTAGTCTCAAGTTGTTGCTACCACAGCACTTGGTGTTGGCCCAATACTCCCCCGTTGCTCGAGTCCTGACTTAAACGGAGCTTGTCTTGGGAGGTCGGGACAAGTTTCCAGGTTATAGTCTCCTATCTCGGAACAGACAACAGGACACCTTGGTGATCTCTGCAAGGGGCATTGTCCTGGACTTGCGGGAGAGTGGGAGGATTTTCCTGTAACAAAAAAAAAAAAAAAAAAACACACCCTTTAAAGTTTATAAGAAGTGATTTCACTTCTGAATCCCCCCGAATTCAAAAACGACGTCGTTTTCATCGTTTTTGATTTTTTTTTTTCCAGAAGAAAATCAGAAGAAGAGAAGGAAGGAAGAAGAAGAAGAAGAACTGGACTGGAGGGGCCATCAAAATCGGGCTGGAGGTGGAGGCGGGGCGGAGGCAGAGGCAGGGGGCGAAGACGGAGGCGAGGCAGAGGTAGAGGTAGAGGCGGGGGCTGCGAGGCAAAGGCGGGGGGGGGGGCTGCCATCTCTTCCCCTCTTTTCTTCCTCTTCCCCTATCTTCTCTTTCTCTTTTCTCTTCTATCTGATTCGAGGGATTCAGGGGGGTCAAATTCGGGGAAAAAAACATTTTCCAAAGTTTATTTAGATTATAGATTATTTTTTGTGATTCTAAAAATTATATTATATCTTTTAAGATTTTTAATTTCATAACAAATAATTTTTTTTGTTAATAAATCACCACGTTAGTTGATAATTTTTAATAATACTAAAATTTTATTTCAATTAATAATTCAAATAATTTTATTATTGTACAGATAAACAGTTAGAAATTTCACTTTTTTAATTAATTATGTTAAATAAAAAATTCTGATATTGAGGTATTTGTAATTTTTTAAACCACATGGAGCAATTCGTATTTTAAGCAAAGCTTAGGAGGTGTATTTGTAATTTACCCGTTTGAAAATTTGATTATTTTGATTAATTTTTTAATTATTTTATGAGATGAAAAAAATTATATTAAAAATGATTCGTAAATTTTTTTATTGTTGAATAGATGATTACAAGAGAAAAAATAATTGATTATTAACTATTTTAACTCTTTTTATTTTTATTTGCTATGAGAAAAAATTATTTAAAGAAATAAATCAATAAATCATATTGTATATGTCCTCGTCTGTTTGTCTTGGATGATATTTTAGCCTTAGGTTAAAATAGTCAAAAAGTCAAAAAGTTAACCAACTTTCCAAACGAACCCATTATTAAGAAAGTAAATTAAGTGAGGTAATTATTAATACAATGATATTAAGTTAGAGGTATAAAATAAATTATATTTATTTGTGTACTAATGTGATGTATTAATTGACTGAGATTAATATATGAAATTACGTAAAAAAATTTATTATAGAAAATGTAACTTGTAATCTTTGTAAAATGATAGGTAAAATTGTCTTTTACCCTCCAATTCTCTAATCTCATGAAATTAGGATTTTTTGGGGAAGTGAGTTAGTTTTTTGATTTTTTTGACTATTTTAATTTAGGCTAAAAAGTCTCGTTTGAGTTAGATTTTTTGACTTTTTTGAGAAAAAAATTGAAATGATTATGATTTCACTACAAGAAAATGCATGTTTGGTGACTAAAATTGGCAACCAAACCAATTTTAGTCACCAAAAACACCAGATTGTGCGACTAAAAACCTGCTTTAGTCGCCATTGATTGAACTTTTTAACTACTAAATTATTTTAGTCGCCATATAGTCCTATTGGTGACCAAATTTACTTTTAGTCGCTGTTTGTTACCAATTTGGGCTACTAAAATTTGATTTTGTCGCCGTATAATTTGATTTTGCAACTAAACATTTTTGTCGCCAAAAAATGGGCATATTTCTGATTAATTTTTGACGACCAAAGCTGGGTTAGTCATTGTATATTCAATATTGCCGACGAGATTTTGAATTTAGTAGCCAAAGAAGCATCTTAGGCAACCAATTTTTTGTCGCTGTTAAGGTTTGTTGGCGACAAATAGTCGTTTAGTCGCTATAGCTTTGAAATTTTTTTTAGAGGGAAAATAATTAATTTTGGCGCCTAGTATATATATTACACACACACACACACACACACACACACACACACACTTTTTTGTT